ATAATTTTGACAATCTCCCATATGATCCTTACTATGTGGGGAACCTCAAGAAGGGGTTTCGTAATTTCGGAAACCTCTTTTTAAGACCTCATAGGGAGTTACTATGTGTTAGTTTGCATTGTCTTTCGGATGTGCATTCATAGCCTTTGGCTAACGTATGTGGAGCTCTTTGGATGCTCTGGCTTTGAGCTCCAGACTTTTGTGGGGATGCTGTCTGGCCACGCAACTTGGGAGTTTCCCAAGATTAGTGTCCCTTTTTGGGGTACTTTGAGTGCTTTTCATTCAGCTTATAGCATTTAGGAGCATACAAGCAAACCATCTTCTTTTGAAAGCTCCCTTTTTGTGTTCTTTTTTCCATGCCTGAAAGCGCCGAGAGGCTTCTCAGGTTAAAAGAATGGGTATGTCTGCATGGTGTTTAGTAGGGAATTGAGGAAAGTCACTGTAGTAGTCCCTAAACTTCTCAGAATAATAATCCATCCCCCGACTCCTTACCTACCACGGAGCGGTCCCCTACTAGGATCCCCTACCTGTTTCCTAGCTCCCAACCATGGGCCCATGTTTTGTTTTCAGAAGGTATATAGTAGATATATGGACCCCAAGATTAAGTGCCCTTAGATAGATCGCCAGCCCTAAACCCTAGATCCTAAGCCCTGAAACCCTAAGCCCGGAATCCTTACGCCAAACCCTAAGCCCTAAACCCTAATCGTTGCTCTCAGTCTGTTGAACTACTCGGCCATCTACACGGAGAATCAAGGAGTTGCCCTGGGAGTCAACAAAGTTTGGGCAAATGGCCGGCAGGAAGAGCTATGGGAGCTGAACGGGGATGTCGATCTGTGGCGACAAGCATGGAAAGTGCTTGAGTGAAGGCTCACAGAAAATGCTCTGAGGCATCCTCGAGGCAGGAGCGCTAAGAGATCTATCAACATGACTGTGCAGATGAATCGGCTAAATATGCTAGAACGGAAATTGCATCTGATGTCAAGGAAGCTCAACCTCTGCTGATTCAGGAACTGCGGGCGCTTGTAACTGTCCTGAAAATGTGTGACAACGTACATGGGATTGCTGTGGAATTTTTTGAGGAGTAGACTAGTGCATTTTGCTTTGTCCATCATGGAGGTTGGGCAGTCTCACAGGTCCGGGACCTTGGAGCTGTCCGTATACGTTGCACACACGCCTCAAACCTTCTTCTGAAGAGGAGAGCTACAGGATCGGGATGTCGGCTTAGGATGTTCCTACCGCTGATTGAATGTTCATGTCATACCAAAATCCCTAGGTGACCTAGTGTAACACCTTTGCCACTAGTCCTCGGTCCTTCTAACCGCCCGTCGCGCAGCATTGCCAAAAGAAGGGCGTGCCCAGCGATCCCAGAAAGTAATGGTAGCTTCAGCACGCTAACAGATTGAAACCCCAATGTTCAATATCCTCTCACCCTAGAAGGGGTTCTAAAGGGCTTCTATAGGGATATAGGGGTTACATGGGGATAATGGGAAAGAAAATGGAAACTACTATAATATAAAGGGCTATTTTGAAGCGCCCTGGTTAAACATGTGCCCTCCATCCTAGGGTCCTGGGGTTTAGGGTTTAGGGTTTCGGGTTGAGGGTCCTAGGGCTTAGGGTTTCGGGTTGAGGGTCCTAGGGTTTAGGGTTTCGGGTTGAGGCCTAGGGCCTAGGGTTTAGCGCTCATGGCTTTCCAGCCAGGCTGCACGCTCTGGGCTCTCTAAACTGTTTTCTGGGCTAGCGGAGCTCAGCAGGTAGGTGTACCCCATATGGTTTCGAGAAATGGGGGGAGCCCAATGTAACCCAATATAAGCCCCCAAGCATTATCATCCTCATTACTATGGGGACCCCCAAAACGTACACTCGCCAATTTTTGGAAACCCTATATCCCTAAACCCTAAACCCTAAACCCTAAACTGCGGAAGATCTACACTCTCAACTTCAAGTCTGAAGATTCCTCGGGCACAATCCATGAGCCCTAACGCCATTCTCAGATGAACCCTAGACCCTGAGCCTTAAATCTTCAGCCTTTTCATGGTATATGCTTGCGTAGGTCCCTTAAGCCCAAACCCTAAACAAACCCTAAACCCTAAATAAACCCTTCACCCTAAATAGGTTCCTCCCCAAAGAATCATCTGAAACTTTCTGGCAGGCTCAGAGCTTCAAGAAGTGGCTGGACGACGTTCAGGAGAGCTGTGGTTGATGGAGGGGTTTATGGTTCAGGGTTTAGGAGTTTACGGTTTAGGGATTACGGAGTTAAGAGGTTTAGGGGTTTAGGTTTAGGGCTTTAAGGCGTACGACCCCTCATGAACTCCCCAACCCGCTGATCATCGATATTCCCCTTAGTATACTATGATATTCAATTGGGGTGGCACCATGCGGGGGTGTGGGGTTTATTATGGCGGGACGGGTGTTACATAGCTGCCATTGCCGATTGCCTCCGTCCGTATGCATTGAAGGCATCCTAAACCCTCAACGATTAGAGCCTAAACTCGGAACGGTTTAGGGTTTTAGGGTTCAGGGTTTAGGGTTTACAGTTTAAGGGTTCACGGTAAGCAGCCGTCAGAAGCTGCCAGTTGAGAGGAGATGATCCAGGAAAGAGGAGGCTATCCACCAGCCTATGAGGCTTGTCTGCAGCCCTGAACACTAATCACCTCCTTCTGATATTTAAACCCTCACCCCCCCCTTCCATTATTAAGTATTCCTTTCTGGTATAATATACCCCGATTCATTGAAATGTTTGATATCAGGGGGGATGGGGGATTTTCAATATTCGAGGGAGGGGATCATCCCTGAAACCCTAAACTCTGTGGCACCCTGCAAGACTCCACACTCAACGGCGTCATTCTTGGCAGCCTGTTCATGTAGATTCTCCTAACCCCCCAACCCCAAAAACCCTAAACCTTAAACCCTCATAGAAGCTCTCAAGCTGTTAGGGTTTGTTGGGATATCTCCAGGAATCATGCTAGTGGATTACATGGCCATATTGGGGTTAGGTTGGGGTTATATTGGGATAATGGAAAATAAAATGGAAACTACAATTTAGGGTTTAAGAACCCTAAACCCTAAACCCTAAACTAAGGTTTAGGGAAAGCCGTAGACCTGATCCCGTGCTTAGGAAACAAATCTTCAAGTCTGGCGGCAGCTCTGGCGCGTTCTTGAGCGATGCTATGTTGCGGTGGCTGTCCTGGATGCGTCAGGTCCTTAGTAAGCGATCATGACATTAACCCCCCCCGGCCCCCCCCCCCCAAATTGGTGCCCCAAAATGGAATAATAAGCCATGTGAAGCACTGCTTGTCCTGATTGAGGCTTTCTTTGGCCTACCCCAATCAACAGCTTAAACATTAGAGTCGGCAACTAGCAGATCTGGTTCAGCAACTAACAGACTGGTATCAGCAACCGACACATCAAACATGGGAGCCCTACGCATTCCCCTTTGTTAAGACCTCATACCGTGGCCGCCGCCGTGGATGTTTCTGTTCCATCATGCTACAGGTACCATCTTCTCTATCCTCTCCGTGGCATTCGGTCAAAAAAGGACATGAAGTCAGAGTGTCTTGAGAAATCTCGGCCAATTAAAAAGGTTCCTGACATCTGGTATCACACAAGTACATGACAGACTCAAAACTTGATCCGTAAAAACTGCATATAACCCTAAAACCCTATAGCCGTAAACCCTACAACCCTGAAACCTGAAACCCCTAAACCATAAACCCTAGAGTGCGAAGCCCTGAATCCTCAACTCTGAATCCCAAGCCCTGCCCAAGTCATCTTAGCTTTAGGCGGCATCCGCTTCTCCACTTGCCGCCAGCGCTCCTTTAACAGAAGTTTGGCACTTTGACGTGTTTTGGGTCTTTGGGTTCAGGGCCTACAGTTTTAAGTTTGGCCATGCGAGGCTTTGAAATTAAGAGTTTTAGGTTCCAGGGTTTTGGGGCTGAGATTTTGTGCGAGATTGTGCTCGGTCATCACAATGTGATTATTGAGAAACAAGGGTTTAGGAAGATTGTGTTTTGGATGCCAGATTGCTGCTAAACCCAAGCCTCAATCCCTCAGCCGTAAACCCTGAACCTCAAAAACCCTAAACCCTAAAACCCTAAACCCAAAACCCTAAACCCTAAAACCCTAAAACCCAAACCCTAAACCCTAGAACCCTAAACCCTAAACCCCATACAGCCAGCCCTATCCCCTAAACCCCAATGCTATGCATGTTCAAATACTGTTTAGACCCCTCCATTAGGGACTCTATACGGGCCCTCTGTATGCATTGCATATGCAGATCCCATAGTCCTTATGCTCTTACAGAAGCTCCCTTCTGTAGATGGTCCGAAGCACTTACTTTGGTCCTCTCATGCATTTTTCGATGCACTGGGGCTCAGGAGGTGAAGCAGATGCATAGCGTATATGGGTTTCCCAAAGGGTACCTTTGGGGGTCCCCATAGTAAGGATTAAACTATTTTGGGGGCTATATTAGGGTCCCCTTATTCTGGGAAACTACCATATCTTCCCAATGCTCTGTTTAAGGTGGTAGTGAGTTTGCACTTTCATGGTTTTAGGAAGTGCTTTGCCTGCTTTCCAGAACCCAGACCCTATAAAGGATCCAAGAACCCCGTGGTTTCCCCCAATATAGTGGGCTCATCTTTGGGAGGGTTCCATTTTTGCGATTGAGGGACCCCGTATGTAGACCCAATCTCCATTTTCTTTTGCATGTCATTCTCAAGTTGTCGGGGTGCTATCCCTACACCCGACACATCCCCGTATAATTCCCCGCCCTACATAACCCTTATTGGGGGAATTATCCCTCATATCCCCACACTCTATACATCCCCATGGGGTCTAGTAAAATACGCAACGAAGCGCAAGCCTCCGACTTGCGTCCTTGTAGCCCAAGGTTAGTGTACCACGTTAGCCGAACGCTGCGCAAGCCGCTTGTGGTTGTGCGGAGCTTGGTGGGGTCATGAGTTTCCTTACTCCCCCCTTCTGTACTAACTTGTAGGTTCGCCCCTTCATTAAGGTTATTTGGGGATAATTGGGCCTAATTGAGGTTAATTAAGGGGGAATCTAGGGGGGTAGTAGAGAGGGGGGTAGGATAGGAAACCCCAATAAAGACCCCAAAGTACTACAGACCTTATTATCAGGATTGCTGAAATGGTACTTCTAATTCTGGAAATCCCCATGTGTAGACTTGTAAGGCTTCTGGCTATGTTTTTGGCGCAAAGGGCAAAGGGGGTGGCAAAGTACGCATTTGGAGGCTCCCTGCTCCGAATTGCCGAGTTACTATGGGTTAAGGCTACGGGTTTAGTTTGCAAGGTTTGGGGTTTAGAGTTGGAGGAGGAAATTTCAGGCTTTTGTTTTCGCCCTTCTGCTTCAGGTATGCAGGTACACAGTCAAGATCTCGGCTTCAGGGGATTTAGCTTTCGTTTTTAGTAGAGCCCCTTAAACCCTAAATCCTGAGCCTCTAAACCCAAACCCCTAAACTAAACCGAATGAACGCATTCAGGCTGTGAAATCACTATATGTTTGTGCCTTTCTTCAAGGGTGCTGAAGTATCTTTCGAAGACGATGTCATTCTGCAGTCAATGAGATGACCCCTAAACCCTAAACTCAAAACCACAAACCCTCAACCCCAAACCCTCAAGCCCAAACCCTAAAGCCTAACCCCGCAGCCTAAACCCTAAAGCCTAAAGCCTAAACCCAAACCCTAAAGCCTAAACCCTAAGCTCTAAACCTTACACAAGTGGTATGTCAGCTCAAGCCCCTTTACCTCTCACCATTCGAGCTCCCCAGAACCTTTGCGCGTTATATAGGATCGGAGCTCATTATATATATATATGTATACACACACACATAGGGTTTAGGGTTTAGGGTTTAGGATATTTCGTATAGGGCCCTTAGATGGGGGTTCCCAGGGGTGCCTTTACAGGGGGATTTTGCGGGTTCGATAGGGAGATATAGGGCTTAGGGATTAGGGTTTAGGATTCGCAAAATTAGGGGTACCTTGTGGGGCCGCTATAAACAGAATTATAATATTGGGGTCCCCCCTAGTTACGGAAACTGCTATGTGTTGGTGTATTTGAGAGTAATAGTAATGCAGTAGTAATGGTTCTAGTCAAAGCAGGACGCAACAATAAGCACAAGAGCAGGAGGATGATTCGTGAACCCTGAACCTTCGAAGTCGAAGGCCCTTAACCTGGAGGTTTAGGGTACCCCAAACCCTAAGCCCTACAACCGTGTCAGGTCCTGAACAAGCTTGATGCTGTGGAGCCAGAGAACGCAGTCAGTTGGGCCAAGGAGCCAGCAGGGAGTGCGGGAGGTTCTTCACTTGGGGGCTTCCAGAAATCAGGGGTTTACATGATGGCGCCAAGCCAGTAAAAAAGAGTAATCCCTCGACCCAGATTCAAACCCGACCCATCTCACTGGCTACTCGTCACCCAATATGCCGACGAATTCTCAGCGAAATCGAAGGAGCAGCTCCAAGAGTGTAAACACCTAGCTGGATAAGAGCATTACTGCCCTAGAACCTGAACCCTAAACTTCGTAGCAGCATTGGAGTCGCATGGCTTCCGTCAAATTCCCCCGCCAATGCCCAAGTGAGCTATACTCTGAATCCGTAAAGGGGGTTATATAGTGGATTACATTTGAAGTATTATAGGGTTTACTAAGGGGGTGTTAGTTTTGACTATAGCTCGTTTTCGTGTTCCCAAAGACGCACCAGCTCAGTCGACAGTAAACATTTGTTAGCAGGGCATGGAGGAATGGATTCTATTCAGCACGCCTTGCATGCTCTTCAGACGAAATCCAGTGCTCCACTCCCCTATTCCTTAATGCCCTTACCAAGCTTGATCCGTTTCTGAACAGTAGAAACATGACCTCCCCAAAAGGGGAACCAAATGGAAAAGAACATGGAAACTGGTATATTCTATCGCAGGAGAAGAAAGCAATGCAAGGGTCGAGGGTATGGATAACCCAGACCCTCTTGACCCACTAGATCCCTTTTAGGGTGTAGATTTTCGGGCCAAGGGCAGGAAGGTTGAGATCCATTTTTTGCAGGCAATTTCCCAGGATCCGATTTGACGAGCCTTTAGAATACAAAATGTCAGTTGATCAACGCCCAGGCCTCGCATCCTAAACTCTTCTAGACTTTCCTCATGTCTCCCAGCTGCCTACATATTCCGGAGTTGTCAAACTCCTGAAGCTCGCCAATCCATCCCCGATCTGAAGCACTGACACCCCAGGACGCGATTGCCTGGTGGTGCTTAGTAGAGGAATGAAGGAACTCACATTATCATATTGAGACTACTATAGGGATCCCTTCCTATATTCCTGGCCACCAACGAGCTAGACTTGAACCCCACACCCAGACAGAGCCCGCGGAAGGCTCTTTCTAAAGTCCCGGGCATCTCTGCCATCACTGGATTTTCGACGCCTATTTGCAAGACTTGATGGGGTGTGCCAAGCCTTACGAGCTCCTTAACCCCTCCTGGGTTTCGGGTTTGGGGTCTAGGGGTTTACATTCATGTGAGCTAGAGTCTAAACTCCTTAAAGGGGGTTATATAGGGGATTATATAGGGGACTACTATAGGGGTTATTAAGGGGGATGCTAAGAGTTTAGACAGTGGCTCATGTTGGGAGGGGCCGTTGGCATTCAGGGCTTGGCAAGCCTTCTTTCGGATAAGGATCCTCGTTGCCGGGAAAGGTTTAGGGTTTAGGGTTTAGGGTGCAGACCCTTCTTTTGACAGGCAGCCAGCTGAGGAACATGCCCTACATTCTCGCAGAAGCCAGAATAGCAAGACAAAAGGAACATTCCAACGTGAAGCCCCACAAACATGAAGCCCCGGATATTCTGGGCACCAAGGGTTGAAAGCTACGGATGTTCTTGGTTGTGAAATTGGAATTAAGATGTATTTTCAGGACTCCTGTAAGGACCTCCTGAGGCTCCCCTCGGTCAGGGTATCACAATCCGAACTATCTGTGTAATCAATTTTCTTAGCCGCCCTGACCCTCGAACCCTAAACTCCAAGTAGTCTGGTAGCTTCCATTCTTCCCAAACCCCAGGCCCTATGAACTTGTATGAACAGTGAAGCCCGAGACCCCAAACCCTGAACCAAGGAAAGAAGAGCTGCACGCGAGAGCGTTTGGCGACTTTCGCTTCGGCCTCCTAGCGTGAAGCACTACTAGTTTCTTGGGTTTAGGGTTTAGGGTTTAGGGTTTAGGGTTGTCGGGTAAAGCCCCTTGGTGCAAGAAATGATAATCCGGCACGCCTAATATTAGATATGTCCCTCAATATATAAAGGTCTCATATTGGGGAATATTTAATGTGGAGTTTAAATAGTAGTACGAGGGTTTAAGAGGATTTGGAGAACACTTTACAGGGGTTATGCGGTCATATAGGGATATATCCAGGTTATGTAGGGCTTGCGAGGTTAGACAAGTTTTGGCAACGCCAACACCTCGTGATAGTCGTATGATAGATATTGGGGGTCCTAATTTTGTGGTTGGGGGGTTAAGTGAAGCCTTTCAAACCTTGAAGCCCCATATGTCCGCTCTAAATCCCCTACATAACCCCTACAACAACCCTTTGAAAAAGGTTACCCAAATCCTCTGATTGATCAGGATCTCGTAACACGGCTAAGTTGCAAAGAAGCCCAGGGGGGTCTCATCAAGCACTCTCCCCCAAACTAACATGGAAACCCGTATAGCCCCATTTTGGAGGGAGTGTAGTCTTTATAGGGCCCCTTTTGGGTTTCCATGTTAGCTTCCAGGAGTGTATGGTTCTGCACCCAAAAAGCCCTAAACCCTAAAGCGATGCCAGTTCTTTTGCATAACCACCAAAGTTATCCCCCTGACTGCCCCTAAACAAAGCCTCACAAGAAACATGAGGCCCTGGACCCTAAGCTATAAACCCTAAACCGGGTACAAAGTCTCAACCCCAAGACCCGAAAGACCTGAAGTTGCCCCAGGAAAGGCCGCTTTGATTGAGGCATGTCATGAGGCATCTTGGCAGGTGTGAAAAAATAGGGTTTAGGGTTTAGGGTTGAGGATTCAGGGTTTAGGGTTTAGAATTTAGAGTTTAGGGTCCAGAGCTTCGGTTTTATGGTATGGACCTCAAATACTATTGTCCTCATGATTGGGACCCCCAAAATGGTGCCCCTGGGAAATCCCCCCTTGTAGGTTTTAGAGTTCAGGCTTGGGGTCGATTCTTGCCAACAATCCTGCGTGACACCCGGTAACTTGCAGGTTGCAAATTACGGTTCAGAGTTTAGAGCTTCAGGGTTTTTATGGTTTTGGTGTTTAGGGTTTAAATTTAGTTTACTCCGGCCTTGCAGGCTTTGTAGTATCAACAGCATCATTACGTGATACTGCGTAGGAAATGAGGCAATGGATCCCGGTAGTTGTCCTTGTAGGACCTGTAGTCTAAACTCCTTAAAAAGGATTATATAGAGGGAGTATATAGGACTATCATAGGGCTTATTCATAGGCATACTGGGAGAAAATGTTATAGCTCATAGAATCCCAAGAATCCAAGACTCCCTAGAGGATCCGAAGACTGGAACCCCGCAAAACGACCCCATTACTACATTGGGGCAAGCTCGGGTAAAATTGGGTCAGGGTTGAGGGTTTAGCGTTTAAGGTTTAGAGTTTAGGCGTTTTGTTTTGGATCCTCGTATGGGTCAGGGATATTCCTTGGAACCCCCACCCCCCACTCACCAGTAAGCACCAAGGAGACTTGGTAGGTATCCGTGCGTGACCCTCCTACTCTTCCCCAAAGCAACATTGGAACGCCCTGAAGCACCTGTTCAAAAAGGAGTTTGAAGCCTACCCGTCGGAATTTGTTCAGGCTTAGCAGGGATAGTTTAGATTTGAGGGTTGTGGAGTTCACCTTCCAGGCTTTGATCTACCGATTCAGGGGGGCTTGGACTTAGAGTGAGGGCCCGTTTCTCACTGCTTGATCGTAGGAAATAAGGGAACGGAAAAAGAAGACAGAAACTATTAAACCCTAGACCCTAGACCATGGTTGGGTGAAATTTAGGGGCTACTACAAGGTTTCCTGATCTCCCTATAAAAGTTGTTTAGGCATGCCAAAGCAGCATCTTAAGCCATATGTTGTAGTACTGAGGCTCGACATTCCCCTTCCCCCCCAGGAAAAGAAATCTACGGTTGAGCGCCCACTTCTGTACACTTCACAGTTCTGTGCAGTACTAGAAGGGATATCCAAAGAGTCCATAACTCTTAGAAGGAGTCCTACACTCCAAAAACCTCAGTACCAAAAAGGGTGAGCGTGGTTGAAGCCTTTTGAGACTTGCAAAGATGTCAGCAAGATGTCCGTATTCCCCAACCCCTCAAGCACCCAAAGCCTAGACCCCAAATCCTATCAACCTTCCCCGAACCCCTAAGTCTTTTTAGGGTTTAGGGTTCCACAGCTGCTTCGGCCGCTAAGCCCAAATCCCACAGCCTCCCGCAAACGAATATGACAGAATCGACAAGGAGCCCTCTTCAGCTTCATAACCCACAAATTTGGGTTCATGACATCCGGATGTAGGCAAGAACCTCAAAAGGTGTGGCTCCGGGTCCAGGAAAATCCTGAGCCCGGGCTCCCACCCAGCAACAGGACACCATGGGGGTGTGGGGTTTAGGGTTTAGGCCTTAGGGTTTAGGGCTTTATGCATTGGTATCTTAGTTATCCAGTACCCAGCATCTGTGCGATACTGTAAATATTAAGCTTACCAAGGGACCATGGGTGGTAGACATAGGGGTTGCTTGGGTAGTATAGTATAGTCCCGAATCTAGCCCCTCACATTGATCATCTTGGAAGTATTGACTGTGGCTCATATCTTACATGATGCTAGGCTATACTGGGTTGCTGTTAAGGAACTTAAACTAAGTCACTATGATGAGGAAACCCTATTACTTGCTGTGTAGCCTTATGAAGGTAACCTAGTTTAAGTTCCTTAACAGCAACCCAGTAAAGGTATGGAATTTAGGGTTTGGAGTCTTTGGACCCGTTGACATGCTTTGAGGAATATTCCCCATTCCTGCGTACTGGGCTCCCTGGACCCAAAAACCCCTAAGGCCCTAAACCCTAAAAACTGTCAACCCCAAACCCCTAAACCCTAGCCTAAGCCCCAAAATCCGAAACTGGAGGCATACGCTGAGTATCTTGCGGCAAACCCAGCGGCAAGCTATGCTGAAGCTGCGGAGGTCGCCCCAAAAGCTGAGGCATGATGGGCGAAACAGGGGGTCAGAGGGCCTATAGGTTTAGGGTTTAGGGTTTGGGGCTCAGAGTTTAGAGGTTCAGCGTTTGAAGGTTTGAGGTAGAGTCCAGAAAAGTCATCATAATATCTATTCTTAATATCGGTATGGGTAGTGTTGTCGTTGTTATTTTTGCTTCTTTTGTTATGATTATGCCGATGATAACTTTTACTCTGTTGAATTTGGCGAAGCAGCGGCTGCAAGGGCTGTTGGTATGGTTAGCCCTCTGACCTACGAGCATAGGGTTTGGGCTTTAGTGTCCTGAGTCAGGGCCGAAGGCTCAGGGTGAAGTCGCGGAAAGGAACAGGGGCTAGAGGCATTGTAATGACTGTTGTTCTGGACCCTAAACCCTAGACCCTAAACCCTGCGCTATTGTTGTTACTGTTACTGTTTCTTTTCTAGTGTTGGGGGGTCGGAGTGGGGCTTCGGTTTTTGCGCTGAGGGTCCACCCTTTTGGGTTCACATGGAGCCTAAGCTTCTTACTAGAAGTTGGAGGTACACTTCTGTTGCGTGAATGCCTTATTCCCTTCAAAATTTGGTACCGCATGCTTGGGGTGTCAGGGCTTCAGTACGTAGAAAGTATTCTTAAAACACCATAAGCCTCGGAATAAAACTAGTTATCCCCACTATTTGCCCTCTTACAAAGTCCCACTGGCCCTAAACCCTAAGCCTCAAATTCGAAACCCTGGATCAAGTAGTAAGGTCCATTTGCTTTACCACTCTAACCTGCCTAATAAGTTCCCCTGACCCTTCAAGTAGTAAGGGATTTCAATAGTACCCCCCCAAAGGTACCCCCGCCAGGGTTAAAGGAGCTAATAAGGATTACATAGGGCTTAATAAGGCCAAATAGGGTTCTGGGGGGTTACGTTTGGGAGGGGTACTATTCTAATCCCTCAAGTAGGAGTGTTCTGGAAGTACGTAATCCAGAAAGCTGCCTCCTGGGAGACGCTGCGCCTGGTTTAGGGCTTATGATGTAAAGTGCCACTCCACACTCTAAACCCCAAGCAATGGACTCTACAACCCTAAACCCTAAACCCTAAAACCCTAAACCCTCTACAGTGTACACTGTAAGCCCAGCATGGCATGTTCCCTGCACAGGTGACTTCGCCAGACCTACAAGCAGCTAGCCCTAAGTTACTTGGGGGTTTCCCAAAATTAGGGGTACCTTTTTGGGAGTCCCCATAATAAGGATTATAGTATATTGGGGTCTATATTGGGGTCCCTTATTTTGGAGAACTACCAACTTCAGGGCTTCCACGAATGTTGGAGTTGGCGGCTTAGGATTTAGAATGCCTAATGAAATGGAGTCTAGAATCACATGTGGACAATGATATGGGAACTGGATGCATTTTCTCCTCGAGCTTATGGTCCAGGTGAAGCAGTAGGGTTTAGGGGGGTAAGTAACAGCGAAAACGGAGTCCTTCTTCCCAGGGTAACTGGCACTTCGTCAGCCGTAAGTTACGAGGTTTGTTTCTATTGGCTTAATTCTTACCTGGAATGCCAAGCAACCCAAGACTTATTGGTGCTCAAGGGAGAGTGGGAGAGTGGACCCCTATAACACCATGTATACCCTTATAGGACTCCTTATCTTCACTCTCCCACTCCTTCTCAAGCATCAGTAAGAGAATGCCGGGCTGCTATACTTTAAATTTGGCTACAGTTTCCTTTTTTATGGTCCACATAATAAGGTTATTCTGACAAAAGCTCTCGCTCAACATCTTCTTTCCATGTGTTTATGAATGATGTGTCGAGCCTCATCGTAGGCTTATCCGGCTCTTCTTCCTGATGGTATGTACAGGGCCTAAACCCTCAACGAAAGAAAAAACCCTAAACCCTAAACCACAAGGGATACTGGTGATCACTTTCGTGCTCCGAGGTATTCCTATCACGTCGCTATTCGAGG